TCGGTATTTAGAATGCACCTGCAACGTTCCAACGTCGTATGAACAATCTCTTAGAAGATTTAATTTTTAAGGATTGTCTGGTCTACTTAGACGACATTATCATTTTTTCCACTTCATTGGAGGAACACATTTTGTCGCTACAAAAAGTATTTGAGAAGCTTAGAGAAGCTAACTTAAAACTACAGTTGGATAAATGTGAGTTTATGAGAAAAGAAACTGAATTTCTCGGTCACATCATCACAACTGAAGGTATAAAACCAAATCCCAACAAAATACAAGCAATTGTCACATTCCCAATTCCAAAAACCCCAAAAGAAATTAAATCATTTCTAGGATTATGTGGTTTCTATAGGAAATGTATACCAAATTTCGCTAATATAGTAAAACCATTAACACTTAAATTAAAAAAAGGAGCAAAAATCAATAAAAATGACAAAGACTACGAATTAGCGTTTGAAAAGCTAAAAGTACTCATAACATCCGACCCAATTTTAATATACCCTAATTTCGAAAAACCATTTTCATTAACTACCGACGCGAGTAATATGGGCCGTCCTTTCGCATGAGCATAAGGCTATATGCTATGCAAGTAGAACTCTCAACGAGCATGAGATAAATTATTCAACGATTGAAAAAGAATTATTAGCAATCGTTTGGGCCACTAAATACTTATGTCCTACCTTTTTGGTCGACAATTTTAAATCCTTAGTGATCACAGACCACTCGTCTGGTTAAATAACATAAAAGAACCTGAAATTACAACGATGGAAAATCAAGCTAAACGAGTTTGATTTCCAAATTAAATACGTTCCAGGAAAAGAAAATTATGTGGCAGATGCTCTGTCCAGAATACAATTAAACGAAAACTTCTTAGGCGAAGATACTATTAGCACAAGAGCAACCATACATAGTGCTCAAGAAGACAACAGTAACCATTTACAAATCACAGAAAGACCCCTTAATTACTATAATCGACAAATAGAATTTGAAAAAGGAACAGCGAACGAAACAAAAGTTACGAATTATTTTCATAAAACCAACATAAAAATTACATACAAAGACATGACTAACGCGCATGCCAAAGAATTAATAAAAGAATTCTTATGCACAAAGAAAAGTGTTCTATACTTCCACAACGAAGCAGATTTTCCAATTTTTCAAGAAGCCTACTTAGAAATAATAAGTCCGAATAATTCAACAAAGGCAATGAAAACTAGTAAAAAATTAATAGATCTTCAAACATTCGCAGAATTCAAAGAACTAATATTAAAAAAACACAAAGAATTATTACATCCAGGAATTGAAAAAACTATCAATTGGTTCAAAGAAACCCACTATTTCCCAGATTATCAAAATCTAATTCAAAATTTAATTATCTAATGTGAGATTTGCAACATCGCAAAAACAGAACATAGGGATACAAAATTAACTTTCGAAATAACTCCGGAAATCGCTAATATCCGAGATAAATATGTAATGGATTTTTACATAGTAGGAGATAAACAATTTTTATCTTGCATTGATATCTATTCAAAATTTGCATCATTAATAGAAATAAAAAGTAGAGACTGGTTAGAAACCAAACGAGCTATAATACAAGTATTCAACCAAATGGGTAAACCCATCGAAATAAAAGCAGACAAAGACTCAGCTTTTATGTGCACAGCTTTACAATTATGGTTAAAATCAGAAGCAGTAAATATTAATATAACCACTAGTAAAAATGGCATATCCGACGTAGAACGATTTCATAAGACAGTAAACGAAAAATTAAGAATCATTAACAGCGAATCAGACGTCGAAAATAAACTTACAAAATTTGAAACTATACTCTACATGTACAATCATAAGACAAAGCACAAAACGACTAACAGAACACCAGCGGACATATTCATATATGCAGGTACACCAGAGTATGACACTCAAGCTAATAAAGAAAAACTAATAAATAACCTCAACAAAAAACGAACAAATTACGAAATTGACACTAGATACAAACATTCACCATTAGTTAAATCAAAGACGACAACCCCGTTCAAGAAGACAGGAGAACTAAGACAAATCGACGACAAACATTTTGAGGAAACAAACAGAGGCAGGAAGATAACACATTACAAAACCAAATTTAAAAAGAAAAAGAAGACTAATCAAAGCAAATATAACAATTACAGGTCAACAACAAACAGCGATCAGAACATACAAGTACCAGCTTAAACTAATTGTTATAATATTACTATCAAAGCTGTGAACCATATAAATGCACAAAGCATTGAAATTAATCCTATTAAAGCCCATAACGGCTATCTCATATTTAAAACAGGAACCATAGACATTCCGACAGATTACGAATTCCACTGTTTAACGGTTAACATAGCAGTTAACATAGTAGGAACAGTATATAAATACTTATTTCGAACATTAGACCAAGAAGACAAGATAGAAATTGAACAAAAAATAAGCAGCTTAGTAGAAAACAGCGTTCAGGTTAACGAATTAAATCACATAATAGAAGCTATAAACAAAGGAATAGAAATTATGAACGAACTAGATCAAGAGAAACAAAAAGGAAAGAAATTAGATATCCTTATATTTAACTTACAACACTTTACAGAATATATAGAAGACATTGAGATGGGTATGCAGCTCACAAGAATAGGCATTTGTTGCATGTTAATTCTGAGAAATTGTTGAATACAAAAACTTCCACTTGGTTTAAATCAGATACAAACGAAATACTGATATTATTCCATATTCCTCGAGAAATAATAAAAAGCCCAGTATTCGAAATAATTCCATACCCGGATGATAATAATAACATTTTGACAGAAATAGCTCATGAAAAATATTTTACCCAAGACAAAAAAGTTTATAGCAAAGAAACAAAAAAATTAATTAGTAATGAATGAACAGGAATTTTAAACCAAATAACAGCATACTACAACTTTTAAAAATGTTCAAATCAACTATGTAGATCCAAATATAATTTTAACTTGGAATTTACCAAAAACTATATTCAACCATAACTGTATAAATAACGAAATAACAATAGAAGGAAACAATATAACAAAAATCATTAATTGTTCCCTGCAAATTAATGAAATTTCAATTTCAAACAAAATGTTAGATTATACTCAAAATATTTACGTAAGCAATGATGTTATAAAATTAGAACCACTTTCGTTTGTAGAAACGAAACAAATTATTAATGAACACACAAAAATTAATAATGTATTCCAGATAATTACAATAACCATATTTGTAATCATATTAATAAGTTTAACACTGTATTTAACATATAAATTTAAAAGCATACCTAAGAAATTAATTATAAAATATAACAAACCAAAAGCAGAAGAAACACCTACAATAGTAGAAGATACACCAATTGTAAAAGAAGAAAATGTTGTACTATACCCAAACTTAAACACCTGAGGACAGGTTCTTTTCTAATGGTTGGGGGAGTGACAAGTGATAAGTGCACATAAACAGACCCTCTCTCAGCGCAGCTCTCAACGCTGCCTACATATGTATAAGTATATAAGATAACCGCTCCGCTGCTGGCAAAAGATATTCATGAACGAAGAACAACCCAATAAAGTTCTGATTGAAGCAGAAGCTCCAATGAACGAAAGAATTTATTTTGAGTAAACTTTACATTACTCTTCCGTCTGTCCTAATAATAATTCTTACCACAACAATATTACTTCATCCGGTTCTATACCTGCTCCTATCATTTTCAAGGAGTGTGGTTCTTCACTTCGTCCATAGATAAAGCTTTTAAATCTAACCCTTGATAGAATATTATATCATTCCACTTCACAAGAACTGTGGAAAGTCTGATACAAAAAACTGCAGAAGCATTGCAAAACTGCTCGCTATCCCTAAATTATTCGATAAAAATAATCACTTCCAATTTGCATGATCTCTGGAAGTCGGATGTCTCCCCTGTTCAACATGGATTCGTAAAGAATCGGTCAACTACGACCAATCTGCTAGAATTTACTTCCTTGGTAAATGATGCTTTCCTGTCTAAAGTGCAAACTGATGTCACTTACACTGACTTTAGTAAGGCGTTTGACTGTGTGCATCAGGATATTTTACATCTGAAACTTGACCTTGTATGAAACTGATTCTATCACTCTCGTCTACAAGACGATTTGAACGCTATACAACTTTGGTGTTCGGCCAATCAATTGCATTTGAATTGTTCAAAGTGTATGCTTAAGACATTTAATCGTACTACACCTTATCTTGTCATTTATACAATCGACAATACTCCCTTGCAACGTATATTAACAGTTAAGGATTTAGGCGTTCATTTTGATTTCAAGCTCTGTTTCAATCTTCATATAGATACCATCGTTAATAAGGGAAAAGGTGTACTAGGAATACTGCTCTTGCATCTGATCTCCGCAGTATAACAATAGCCAGGATTGTATTGAATTGAAGTTTTAAATTGGGACCCCAGTCTTAAGTTGCCATCCTAGTCCAGCCGGCTGCTTCTTGTTAATCGTGCCTCGGTTTTGTTTTTCTACATTAGTTGATTGTTGGCGATACAGATTCCACTTTTCTGATAGGGCGTCTTCAATTCTCTGTTCCATCTAGGCTTACCAGGAATTATCGTACCTTATTCCTACTTATGTGTACAACAGACTACGCTATGCACAATTCTTTTCGCGTATAATAAAAAGTTACAATAGTTTGCATCATGTTTTCTCCAGCGTACTTTTTCTACCCTTAATAAAATCTTTGCTTTCCGGGTATCTTCGGGATCACACTGACCATTTCTAGCTACGATCAGGGGCATAGGACAGGCTATAAATTTTTCCCCACCGGGTCCGTGATTTCCAATTGCTATCTCTTTATCCTATCTTACTTACTTTACTTTCTTTTTTCCCATTTATTAAAATATCTTAAATAATAATATAAAATTAAAATAATTTTTAATTTTTACTGAGGAACACTTTTTTCTCTACTAACAACCTTCTTCTTATCTGCAGGCTCAAATAGCGTCACTGACACAACTTGCTGTAAAAAGGGGCATAACTGGGCAGAAGGCCAAATAAAACACCTCCATCGGTCGGTGATGCTATTAGAAAATTGTGTAGTCTTACTAGCCTTATAGCATTAAATTTTCGTAATGTATGTATACTGTATTGAATAATTAATTAATTATAAATAAATAAAAAAATAAAAACCCTTCTTAGCAGGGTTTCTTGAAAGGAAGTGACGGTAGTGGTGAAGCCTTATCATTGACAACATCACCTATAATTGGAACCTTAAGGACCTTAGCAATGTTCCGTGTACGAATATACCGTTCGGCTCCGGAAATTTTTGTTTTTAACGCGAATCCCGATGCAGCGTACTGCATCCCAACTCCCGCCACACCGAACGAGGGGTGCAGTCGCAAAACGTACGACACGAAATGCAAAGTAAATATGAAAAACAAGTTAGAGGTTCTAGTCGGCAGCTCCCGACTAGGGGATACCCTGAACCCTCTTCTTTCAACATCAAATGCATATATATATATTTTTTTTTGAAGCTATTTGTCAAGTTTGGTGACCCTAGCTCTAATTATTTGCCAAAATTGCCCAAAAAACCGGATATCAATATCGATTTTTATCGATTGCTTGGAAACTCAATTCTATCCTGATGGATAGCATATTGTGGTGACCAGATACATGAGGCATACTCAAGAATAGGCGAACTCAAGTCGAACTCACTCGACCATCGCTTAATGACACCCATAACTATTCTGGCCTTATTGACCACGGTCTTAACATGAGAGTCGAATTTAAGTTTATGATCAAGGATGACACCTAGATCATTAACTTCATTAGAAGTACTGTTAACACGCACGAGCGGTAAGCTATCAAGAAAATGTAAGCACAACACTGTGAACAACGCTGTTGAACGAAACCAACACGAAAATAAGGTCAAGAGATCTGTTTCTTGAGTTGCGCACACGATTAACCTGCCGTAAGGACATTTTATGTAGACCATCAATAAATTCATTTGATGAAGACGGCAACAGAAAGTTTGAGTCTGATGGCGATGACCACTCGACATCTGGAAGATTAAAGTCCCCAAGAGCTACTAATAGATCTCTATCAGAAAGTATGGAGGAGATAGATTCAATATCATTATCATCATCTGATGAGAAGTGTGGACCGAGCCTAAAAACAAAAATATTTCTTTTCTGTGGAACACCGACTAGAGGGTTAGGGTCCACAGGTAGGACAGTGGGAAAACTATTGATTGTGGTACCTCAAACAGCCGACAGTCCGGACGAGGAGCCTTCTAGCCTTTGTAAAATTAATTGTTGCTGTCGCCCTTGCGGGTTCAGGGTATAAAAAAAATACTTTCCCCGGTAGGGCTCGAGCTCGCGGCAGACCGCACCACTTGCTATGCTTCTGCTCGGCAGCCACACCAACAATTAACTACTTATGAGAAAAAAAACAAACTTAAATAGCATTATAGAAAAAAGTCGGAATTACCATGCTGTTAGAATGCGAAGCAGACGCGCATGAATGTGAGTGTATACATGTATACAGAAATTCTTAAAGATGCTGCCCCAACCAATTGCGCAGTTGCATATAACTTTGTTTTTTTCTTAACCGATCTTTATGAAATTTTCTACAGTATATCTTATTGTACCATAGAATATTTGTGTATTCTGAAAAAGTCAATTGCATTTAAATTGTCATAATTGTAATAAGTCATTACATCTAAAATTTCAAGTCTCTAGCTCTTATAGGTTCTGAGATCCTTTGGCTCATACATACGGAAGGAAGGTCAGACAGACGGACGGACGGACGGACGAACGGACGGACAGACAGACGGACATGGCAAGATCAACTCGGCTATTGATGCTGATCAAGAATATATATACTTTATGGTGTCGGAGACGCTTCCTTCTGCCTGTTACATACATTTGGATTTTGCACAAATACAGTATACTCTTTTTACACATTTTTAATGGGTTCATTGTATAAAAAAAGATTATGTGTGTTTGGGCATAATTGGGCGGTTTGACTGTCAACGTACCGTATTCATTACACTGTACTTGTGAGTTTTACAGCGGCGGTTGCTTAAGCCGTTATATTTAGTTTAAACATTGTGGCTGATTTTGTGCAGCTGCTGTTGCTGAGCAGAAATTTGGAGCAATGCTTCCGCTTCCCTTCTTTGCTGTTGGGATCGAGTGGATAGACAACAATTTGCCTAATAATTTACTGTGACCAAATATTATTGTTCTCTTTGATTCGATTTGTGCACTTGATCAGCAAGTGATCGTTATTGCCAGGTAACACTGTACTTGTGAGTTGTGCAGCGGCTGTTGCTTGAGCCGTTATATATTTAGTTGAGCATTGTCGCTGATTTTGTGCAGCTGCTGTTGCTTAGCAGAATTGGAGCACAGGTCATTGCCATTTTCCTTTCGGCATTATTATGCTTCCCTGTTTTACTGGTTGGAACCGGGTGTATAGTCATCACCATTTGTCTGGTAGTTTTATTTGGATAAATTATTTTCTGAAGTTAAATGTCCACGCTGATGGAAATGCTAAAAACGCCAAGTCTAGTTTGAAATTAATAGCGACTTTGCAAAAGCATGATAAAGTTCTAGGAGATATTAAGCGGCTAAGAACCGCGATTGAAGAAAAAACAATTTCATATGATCAGATACAACCTTAATGTCGGCTGGAGTTACTGGAAGGGTGTATTGTAAAAATAATTTCTTTTTGAAAGTCTGGTGCACAATGATTCGACACTGTCCAATGTCGAGAACCATTTTATTTCTTGCTTGTCTGATGAGGTATTAGTAACAGTAAAGGCATTTCAAATCATAGAATGCAATTATAAAAAGGCATTAGCAAGTTTAAGAGCTTTTTATGACAATAAATGCCTCATATTTTTGGATACAATTTCTCAACTCTTTGAAATTCCTTACATGAAAAAAACTTCAGCGTCAAGTCATAGAAGTCTTATAGACACCATATCGGCATTATATTCTTCTCTGCAGTCTCTAGGCGATGACAAGCACTTACAATAGCAATGTTAATTCACTTGGCAATGTCAAAAGTAGACTAGGCAACAAAATCACGATTGGAAGAACAGCTTGACTATGATAGTTTGCCATCTTGGTCAGATTGCGCTGCTAAATTGAATCGGTGCTATTATCAATTAGCTGTCGAAGAGTCAACTTGGGGCAAAACAAACCAAAGCAAGAGGCTAATAATGGACATATCAGGTCATCGCTGTCGTGCTCTTAGGGTGATCAGAAAGCAGTTACCAAATGCAGTTATTGTTCAGTCGCTGATCATAGTCTCGCAAACTGCCAATTGTTTAGCGCTCTTCCTGTTTATCAACGCTTTGGGCTTGTGAAGCAACATAACTTGTGCATCAACTGTTTAAAACAGGGGAATGCAGTAAAAATTGTGGAATATCGAAATGTCGATGGTATTCAAAGCCACACAATACTGTACTACACAGGTATGAGAGCGAGAATTTGCAAACGCAAGCATCTAGTTCCGCAACAGCTTCTCCACAGCAACAGGCTTATGTAAGTCATGTTCTTAGTGCCGAACAAGTAATCCTAGCCACATCTGTAGTGAAGTTAAAAGATAGATTTGGGCATTTCCAGCCCGCGAGAGCGTTTTTAGATTCAGGATCCCAAATAAACTTGATGTCAGAGGACTTAGCACAACGCTTACGTCTACGTCGTGAAGATGCGTCATTGAAAATTGTCACAGTGGAGCCACTGCTTCGAGTATCAAACACAAAGTCCACACATCGAGTTATATCTCTACATACCAACCTTATCAGAAGATTCAGTCCTCACAGTGGAATATAGCTCAAAATATTGAACTGGCCGACCCCCGATTAGGATGGATTGTGTCAGGAAAATATTCGCAAGGCTCATCATCGCAAGCACAAGTTAGCACTGTCGCAATTGATAGTGACAATAGTTCTCTCGACACTCTAATACAACGATTTTGGGAGTTAGAACAAATCCCAGAGAAGTTGAAGGCTGCATATACAGCTGAAAAAATTGAATGCCACCGAAATTTAAATGTGCGTAGGTTGGAATCTGGCAGATTGTATGTACCGAATGTGTATACCGATTTTATAAAAGAATATCGTGACCTTAGAAATATGTCATCGCTTACGTCAACTCCTCTAGGACTACATTATTACATTGCCCATCAATGCGTCCTGCGTCCTGATGGTATAACCATCAAATTGCTCGTAGTTTTTGATGCGTCAATCCAGACGTCAACGCTAATCTCACTAAACGATACTTTGATGATATCCAACTATTCAGAGGGAGCTATATTTAACCCTTGCACGATTTTGGTGGCTTAAGATGCTTTGACAGCCGACATTTAAAAAATGTATCGACAGGTAGACATCGCTAAGGAGGATAGAAGTTTTCAGTTAATTGTATGGAGGCAATATAAATATATAATACAATGTTTACAGACATTTCAACTCAACTCTGTGAAGCGAATCCAGGTGATCTTGTTTCTAGGGGCACAGATGTGGACGATTTGGCTTGTCCGCTCTGGATTAATTGTCCTGAATTCTTAGGACAAGTCCCAAGTGAATGGCCGCAACTCCATCAATTTGAAATATCACTGGAAATGCAATTATCTGAGAACAAGAAGACAGTGACAGTACATTCCCTAGCATTGTAGAAATCTAATGAAATCTTGACACTGATTGAACAGCTCCTCGTTCACTAAATTGGTGCGTATCATGGCATACATCCACCGTTTTCTCCAAGCGAAAAAAACGTAGTCGCGAATCAGTTTTCTAACCACAGGAGCTGCGACTCGTCTTTTTAAAATTGGTACATGTGGTGCAAATGTCTGAGCTTGGTCACGAATTGGTTCAACTAGAAAAATCTTAAGCCTTAGCACCTCATCTTCAATGTTTGAACCCATTCGTGAAATTGCAGGAAAAGAATCCAATTTCAAAATCATTCGAGTTGGTGAAAGATTGCTAAAGGTACCCATTCTATATGATGCTAAATTTCCCATACTACTGTCTCGAAAATCTCATTACAACGAATTGTTTCTTTGAAACATCCATC